AACCCGGTTCAAAAGTCTTCTTGATGATTTTCTTTCCGAAAGTGGAGTATTTCACTTATTGAATATCAATGTATTCAATAATGATTTATACAAACAAGGTCCGTCATCCATTTAATTGCTTGAAAAGCAAAATAAAACCTTTAAATCTTTCCACGTCTATTTTATTTCTATTTATCTTAATATATGAAATCTGCTTATGTTCTTGTTTATCATTATTACCGTTATTAATATCATTATTAGTTCCCCGACACATTAGATATTCTTTTTATCTCTTCTTATCCTTCTAAACATATTTAATTTGTGATTGTCCTTTGAAATTAATTGTGACTTTCATAGCACCATTCTTAATTATTGTTGTACAAATGTTAGTACTAATATCAGGTTTTACTTTGTATACTATTAAATAAATCTAAATGTATTCATCTGAGTGCACCATAGGATTCTTATTTTATTTTTCTCAATTGCTGATTTACTCCTGAGATCGATATTTACTACACAATTATTATTATCATGGTTGAACCTTTTCACTAGGTGTCCACTTCTTTTCTCTCTCTTTTTTCCTTCTAAATAAATATTATTCTTAAGATTACGAAGTTTGTAATCAGGACAACAACTTGTGTTACATTTGAATTAACTTCTCAGACTCGTTTTATCTTCACCATACATACATGACTCATACATATTGATATTACATTATCCTTTTCACTTAATTGAGACCTTCATATCATCACTCCAAACTATGACTGCAGAAACATTTATTTCAACGTCATATCTTACTGACATAATAAGTTATTTTTTCTTAATTATTTTCTATTTTATTTTTGCCATTAATTTGTCGATACATACATAGTCGTTTATTCTTGTTCTGTGTTCATAAACACGCCTATTAATCTATTTGTGTATTTCACGTCTCCTTTATTTCTGTTACCTTATTTTATTCCTATCCTTCTTTAAACTCCATTAAATATTCTACTCCATTACACAGAACCTGATTTATTATTATTATCCTACTATTACTACTATCTTTTTCCAAATATGGGAAATATAACGCTAACATTATTGAAACTTGTGTATTATTGCATTTTTGAAGAAACTCGAAATGGTTTCTTCACAACACTTATGTACCCATAAAATGTTTGTGAATAATCATTATCATTATTATTTTGTGTTCCGTTAACAAACAGCTTGGCGCGCGATTCGAAAAGGGCAGTGATTTTGTACTTGTGATTATCCCTGCTTTTGCGTCAAAAGCGTTCTTTGTTAACTTTATATTAAAGTACTTTTCTAAAGTTTGTCTTCTGGTACTCTTTCACTCATTGACTGACACGTGCGTTCATATTGTGGTCATATTGTGTTTTAAACGTTAACCTGAATACAGTAGTTGGTAGTAATCATAAATGTGGACAACCAAACCAGCAAGCATTGATGGTGAGGGCGATAACTTCAGTTCACTCGTGTTTGTGGGGACAGAAAATTTTGTATGTATCAGGCTCTTTATAATTGAAAATAAGACAGTCAATCTAAGATATAGATTGTCTTCCTACGCTCACCATTCAGACTCATGTTTCCAATATTATGCTGGATTAGCTATTCTACTAAGACAACCTATAACATGCGAACTCGGACTTTTACACTAGGATTGCGTGGCTGACATCGGATGGACAAAAAAGAAAAGAAAGAAGACAATAAAAGATATAGTCACTAGTATTCTTAACACTTCATCCTCTATACATACACCCTTCGAATAAACCGCTTCCCTTGTACCAACCTTGACTTCCCTTCCTTCATGTGAGCTTACTCCAACTTGTTAAACATCACAACTCATTGTTCTTTATTAGTACATTCTCTAATATGGAGCCTCTGACTTCACTTCACTCTAACAAGACATTATATGAATTTATTCTAATTTATTATACCTCTGTCCGTTCTACTACACAATGTTAAGCAACCTTTGGCGTTCATATCCAAGTGCCTTGCTGCTCTTCTGTTTCCCTTTTTTTCTCCTTCAGAATCTTGCTCTGAGAGCACAGCTATGAAACTCCTGACGTTTGGAACAAACTTAACGTACGCGTCCTCTCAAGGTCATAGTTTACAGAAAGCGCTCTACGATTTCACTTTATAACAACTATAAAATTGATAAGTTGGGAAGCATTTTGCGAACCAACAAATGTTGTTACTTATAGATCATGCCTGTAAAAACGGTGTGTACCTGCAAATGCAGAAATATATTATTATTATTATTCCCTGTGGAGGGACGAATGCAATGTGATGAGTCTAAAAAGTGGTTCCATAAGGTGTGTACCCGTTTAAGTTTCACCACATACAAAAGATGCTCGAAGCCTAGCTCGCGTGGGCTTTGCATGTTTTGCTGTGCAAATAAGACGTCACTAATACAGGAGGCCAGGAGCCTATTGGCTTTGGCCCGTAAGAAGAACGATGGCGCATGCGCTGATAACACGAGCAATGCCAGTGACGATTGTGTCGGTGTAGTACGTGATGTTACGAAACGCCTCAAACAACCGACTTTGATTGATGGAAAAGTGATATCTCCATTAAGATTAACGAATATTATTGTGAGCAAATCGCTGGAGTCAAACGACCCTGATCCGAAAATTAGACACGCGCATGATTTAGAGAAGCTAAGAGAATATGTTCGTAGTATCTTACTAGAAAACTGTAAAGAAGTTCAGGTAAAAAAACTGGTTAGAATATATATATATATAATATTAACTAGAAGCATTGGTGGACACATTAAGGCCACTCATTCTAGCAGTGACAGAAACGTGGCCTCGTGGTCCTGATGATATTCATCCTAGGACTATGAAAACCATATCAAATGCAATTGCTGAACCATTAGCAATACTGTTTGACATGTCTCTGAGGCAGTCTAGACCGCCCAGAGTCTGGAAAGACGCTATAATAAGTCCGATGTATAAGGTTGGGAGTAGGGATTTAGTTAGTTACTATAGACCCGTTAGTTTTACTAGTGCGGCTGTGAAACTTATTGAAAAAATCATCCGGATATCTGTTACAAACTATGTTGAAGGGCATAATTTTTTCTCTAGGGAACAACATGGTTTTCGGAGAGGCTTATCATGGTTGACGAATCTCATTGCAAAAGAACGGAATATTCCTGTAGATGTGATCTTCATAGATCTAAGTAAGGCCTTTGATAAGGTTTCCCATTCTGGTCTTAAATTCAAACTGGAAAGTTTTGGAAACACTATACATTCGTAGATTGGATAAGTACCTTTCTCCATGTCAGGAGACAAAGGGTTAGGGTAAATGGGGCTCTCTCCTCGTGGATACCTATAAAAAGTGAAGTTCTCAAAGGTACAATCCTTGGTCCTCTTTTCTTTTTACTCTATGTAAATGAATTACCAACTATGGCGAAATCATCCGTTCTACTCTTCGCTGATGACATAAAGATTTGGAGATTCATACACAGTATGTCGGATAGAACAATATTACAGGATGATCTTAGCTCATTGGTGGCAAGGTGGACAGGAGGTCATCATAAGTGAATCCTAATAAGAGTGTGGTGATGCAACTAAATAGCTATGATGATTCGTATCACTATACAATATGTGGATTCGTGCTACCCAAAGTAAGAAAATATAAAGATTTAGGAGTCATATTAAGCAGTGATCCCAAAACTACTAGTCACTGTAAGGCTGCTGCTGTGAAAGGCTATAGGGTATTATGGTTTATTCGCAGGTCTTTCCAGTATTTAGATGATGAAATGCTTAGATTATTATACCCCATTCATGTGCGACCACATTTAGAATATTGAATTCAAGTAGCGAGTCCTTGTTTCAAGTATGATATATACTGGAAAGAGTCCATCGACGAGGTACTAAGATGGTAAACGATCTATCTGGCCTATCTTATGAAGACAGACTGAGACACCTTAACTTACTTTCTCTATCTTACGTAGAATACGGGGTGATCTAATATCGGTTTATCGTATACTGAACGATGATCTTGGTATTACCATAACTTATCTTTTGCTTCCATCTAGAACTGATCATTTTAGAGAACATCCAAAGAAAGTTCCAAAACCGAGATAAATCGTTTACGTCTGGAGTTTCGTTTCTCGCACCTCATTTCTCTACCGGAAAACGTAATATCAGCACCTTCGGCTGATACATCCTAAACGAGATTAAACCTCCACAGTAATACAAACTGAAAGGAGTAATATCCTTATTACTGAAGACTGAAAACTGAATCATTTGATTCATTTGAATCACTGTTTGACCTACAAAACCAGAGCGCATTTCGTTCGAGATTCATTTGGACTAGTCCCAAGCCTATAAATTCAGAGCGACTAGTTTTTACTGAGATACAGATACTTTATTTTGCCACTGGTAAAACCAAGTAAGTATTAGTACAGTGTAAGGTCAAATATGATTTCAAAATATGTGTGGCGGCTTATTTTTTTATGGTGTCCCACACCTTTCACGGGGACATATGTCATATGTTTACACTAAATAAACTTATATTTATAATTCAAGTGCAAATTTAATTAGTATAACTACGGACAAACCTATTAATTTTGATTTACCATAACTAGGCGCTGATCACTGGTTACATGGATTTTTCACGATGAGGTCATATGAGTTTGTCTTAACTAAAGTGTAGTGTGGAGACTATTAATTTGAGTGCTCAAAATCTTAAGTTGCTTTAAATGACTTATTAGTTTTCAGCGTTTTAGCTCATCTCCTGTGGGACGTTCAGTTTTTTATTGTTTATGTGGCTGCGAATTTTCGTAATACGCAGCGGCTTTCGTTATTCATTCGTAGTGATTCCAGGTTAGCCACTCGTCTTTGAAAGGTCTCAAATTCCTAATTGGAATATCACGGAAGTATTACCTGTATACCTAGGCAGTCAAAATCTCAGGTTTGCTTTGTTAATGTTCATGTTTGGATAACACTATCCAAGTTACTGTAATCTCAGTGGTTTGAGCTTGTATCACTAGATTTTTTAATCAATGAAACCCAGCTTACCGCATTGCTCTATAAGCATTGTTCTTTCTTGTTACAGATATTTCTGTTGATGTCACTTTCATTTGAGACTTTGTACATGTCGTAAAAAGAGGTCACATTTTGTACCACAGTTTGTTTTAGTTAATATTTATTAAAGAGATTCAATTTTGAGTTGTTGAAGCAGATGATCGAAAATATTGTAGATTACTTACACTAAGATCCAAGAAGCAGCGTCATTTTGCCGAATGCCACAGTAGTTTGTAAAGAACCTAGAAACATATCCTAGTATCGATCTACGAAATTCTGGTTATCCATGTGAGCCATGTCATTGTGTCCTGACATTTCGGTTGGCCAAGTTAGAATACTGCCATGTCTCAGTTTGTCCGCTGGGATAGTATTCTCTCTTAAGAACCTTATAATGCGTATCAAATGTTTATTTGCAAAGTATACTATGCAATCGGTCATAGCCAACGTAGAATCTGGTATATATCTGGCAGAACATTTAAATTAACCAATATATTATTTTCTCCGTTTGCAACCTCGTAGTTAATTCCACGGTCACTGAAATTTTAGTTCCCTCTTTTCTATACTCTAAATTTTAAATTTGCTGAACGGACTATATTTCTCATCATCTGTAAATAATCGACATTTTCATGACTGAAAATTTTAATTCTTGTAAATAATCTCTCATTGTACTTTTATAGTAAAAAAATCTTGTTCAAATTTTTACCAGGTTATTAAGAAATGTCAGAAGTAAACGAAAGTGAATGTGAAGAATTCTTGAACATTATTAAGTTGTCTTTGGAGGAAGATAAAAGTCATGTTCATGTTGTTGTGATCATCGGAGCCTCTGTAAGAAATACTAGAACGTCTGTTTATAATATATTATAGGGTGACTTAGCAAAGAAAAAAACTTACCCGACTTTATGGTAACCTGATGATTAACTTTGTTACAATCTAGGTGGTTGTTCCGTGATGGTCTTCTGCCCCCTCGAACTTACTTCGTTGGGTTTGCACGGTCTGATATTGGTACCCAGGACATAAGAGCAGAAAGTGAAAAATTTGCCAAGGTAAGATTTCATTTTTACAACCTTATTTACGGAAAATTAACGCCGAAGAATTTAAATTACTGTTCTTATTTCACTAGCAGACGTTTGCTTCCACCTAAATTTTCAAAATGACTATCAAGCTCTAGGGCGGAATTCACCTAAATTTAGGTATGCAATTTTTTCTATGTATTAAGTCTGATTTATCCAGGTTGGCATATTTGAGCTAATACCTTCTAACTTCTACTAGAAATCATTGCAATATGTTTCTGAAATATGAGGTTGCATCGTGAATATGACTTTGATTTATATCTCCCATATTTATATTTCAATACTTTTCTCACCTTATACTTCTCGTCTCATTGATTTCTCTTGATGTTTATGTGAAATGTCGCAACCTGAACCGACCCAGATTCATTCCACTTTGATGATTGACTGATGTACTCAACTTTTATGTTTAATCTTTAGATTAAAAGTATATATGCTGGCCATACTTTTCTAGTCCTATCTAATTTTACGATACTTTCAACTCGGTTCACATATATTGTTGATAAATTTCCCGAAGCTGTTCTTGATGGGCACAGTCTTTGCTATATGACTGTCAACCATTCAGTTTTTATTCCAAACTCGTCCCACTTTTCCAATAGATAAGTAGTATGGTTATTCAACTCTAAGATGTATCTATTGGTTTGTCGTACACTTGTATATTTAGTTATTGAGACTAATGGTTTATGGTTTTCTGGGGGTAAATATTTTTTCACATTATACCTTACCTGGAACATCACTATGACATCTCCATGTGAGTACAATAAAAATGGTGGGATTTTTCAATTCCTACTTGAAAATGAGTACTCCCTACGTGTTGGCTTGTAACATGTGAATCATTGATCAATGTTAATGGATTCATTTGTAAAATATTTTTTGTAGGAATGGATCATTTTATGTTCCTTTGAAAAATATCAAAAAAATGAACTAGATAAATTTTATTCTTAAATTTTCAGTGAATTAGAATATCTTTCTAATCCACAACATTTATCGTACACATAGCATTTTTTAAAGTTAATTAATTAGTTTTTCGTAGTACTCTACTTTATAAACAACTTTTATTTGGTTCCTATCAGCTCTCATCATCTCCATGTCAAAAATATGAAGAATTTTGGGACTGTAATTTTTACTTGAGAGGAGATTATACGAATCCAAAAACATTTGAATTACTAAATAAGTTTATAGAGTCCAAGTGGGAACAATCTGTTAATCGCATATTTTATTATGCTATACCACCATCAGTTTATAAACCTGTTTCATCATCTATCAAAGAATATTGTACTAACAAAAAGTAAGCAATATTTCACTGTTATAATTCTTGAAGTAATTATTATCGGTTCAGTTGTTTTGCGATCTTTTTTCTTCTACAGACAATATGTATAAGAATAATCAGTAATTTTTAAAATAAATGAACAAATAGATTATTTTATGACCAAATTGTATTCATGGTTCTTTAAATTACTATTTGGAACTCTGTTGAATGAGATTTTCATGTTTATAGTAGTTTAACTTTCAATTTATTCTGTTCATCGAGATGACTGAAATAAATGAAGATTGGAATTTTAAGCTAAACTTAATAATTTGCATTTTGTCGAGGTCACTGTATTCATATGATTATCGAAAGCCTAAGTTATTAATAACTGACATTATTTTTCTAATCAGTCATATTTGTTCAGAACGTTACTATTCCAAAACCAACTAGGCCTTAACACATCATTGTTTGCATTTTGTTTTATGAACAAACTTATAAATCGAGGTTAATAGAAAATTCCACCTATCTTGTGATTACATTCTGAATTGATTTCAGTATAAGTGATTCAGTTTCTAAACTTAAAATTTCATTTAGTTCAGAAAATGTTTGGCTAAAAGCCACGAGTCTGAAAATGTGTTTTCCAAATTACTCTTAATCCTAAAACACTTTAAATACATTGATCTTTCAGAAAGTCAAACGATGCTTAGCAATTAGGCCTGGTAGTCAGGCCTGAATCGATTAAAGAATGAATGACCTACAAGCTTATTTCCTCTAATTGGCTATGATGTTTTGTCATGTTTATTTTGTATTCATATGTTGCATACGAACATGTTATCTGATTATATGGGGAAACCATTCATTTGGCTAGTGGTCTTGTTTCTAATTTCTAATTATTCAGGGGCCTAAGTTAAGTATACGGTCCGTAGGTAGCCATCACTCGGTCACATTATATCATTATGTTCATCTGCTGACTGGCACTGTATTCATCGATATTAATGGTCGAAATTTCATCTAATAAAACCACAGAAAACCTCTTCCATGACATAAAGTTTAGGAGAAATGTGTATTTAAGCATGTCGATATCAACTTCTTAATGTTTCAGCTAGAAGTCCTAATAATTCGCAACATCAAAAATGATCCTTAATCGATAATGTTCGGGAAGCAAATTATCATTGGTTTTGCTAATAAAATGCCTAAGTGTATAATACGCTAGCATTTTAGTTGTTATGGTCAAATTCTATCAATAACGACAATAGATAATAAAATTATTTAGCCGATTTTTCCTACTAACATCGGCGAATAATATCTGGGCTTTACTTAACTGCATTACCGAGTTGTTATGATGTGTGTTGATGATGAAAATCTGTCTGTTTCAGAGGAACAAAATTCTTTATCTTAAAGGACTGTAAAATATCTTACAATAAGTGGCGCTTTAAACTGAAACTCCATTTCGATATCACATCCCGAATTTTATGCACTGCTATGAGTCTAGATTGAATTTCTAACTTACACGTGAAATCTTAGATTCCGTTCTTAAAGTTCGTTCCAAGTAAATCGGAACGCTGAAGTGACACAATATTCATAGATTATCTGGATTACTGGCACACTGTAGCGTTGAAACACAACAGCACTTTGAATCTTGTCAATCACATTTTGAGGTTACTTGACAATTTAATTTTTTTCAGCCAACAAGTTATATTGATTGATGTATTTTGTCTACTACAATAATACTTTTCCTAACTGAGGATATATACCTTACTCCAAATTAGTTGTGTGATTTATGTTGAGTGAACCGTTGTCAGAGGGCCTTTAATTTAATTATTGATAAATTTATATTTAATTCATTTGGAAAATTCTTTTTTACACCGCTTCTTAATGTTATACTCGTAAACAACAAAATGCCGCTTAGTATTATACTTATTTTTATTGGTTAATTTAATAGTTCAGGTTGCTTTGTTTTCTGTTTTGTAAGGTAATTACCATAAAAAATATGCCTCGTCTTTCGTAGTGGTAGCATCACTTTTCTTTTCAAACATATCTTCAGTTCTTTTTCTCAAAATATTTCTATGGTTCTTTTGGAGTTTGTTTCTGTGTTTTTTGTCGTTATCTTTGTCCTTATACCCAATCATTATGTAACAGTCATATAACAAACTGCAGTTTTTAAACGTAGTTAACAATAAATGAAACAGTGGTTCATATGTTTTCATGTCTTTCAGTAAGTTACACTCTCATCCTTTTGTAGTGAACACGAACACCAGTAGGGATAATCGAATGTATTTGACACAAAATTACAGGACTTGTTAATAAAATCTAACAATCAAATAGTAAATACGTAATTTGCATAATGTACATCAGTTGTCTTATAATGACTCAGACTTCATTGTTCTTGCATTTTCATACAAATTGCATTCTGTTCCCATTCTTTACTGTTCGATCCTCTTGTCTCTGTGCTGCCAGACATTCCGTTTCTGTATAAAGGATATGGCATTATGACTGTTCTCTGAGTTTCTTTTAAGTACTATCTTCATCCTGATCAAGTTATAAAAGTGCCCTGTATCAATATTCACTTTTGTACTCAGAAAGGAACTAACAACGAATATATTAGAACACTGAAACTTGTGACTTTCATAAATATTAATTTTATGTTGGTACAAATTTCTTAGCCCTGATACGTGGACTCGATTGATCATTGAAAAACCGTTTGGACGAGATTTAGAGTCATTTAATGAATTGAATTCTGAATTAACTAAACTGTTTACAGAAGAACAGATTTATCGAATCGACCATTATTTGGGCAAAGAGATGGTTCAAAATCTACTAATTTTACGGTAAGATTCTTTCTACATTACTTTATATAATTATTAACTCTCTTATATGTTCATTATTTTTTGAGCTCATAGATGCATGAGTAATAATGGTAACACATTTTGCCAGTTGTACTATTATTCAAAAGAAGGAAAAATTAATCTGGAGTGTAAAATAATTCGAAATTTTCTAACAAATACTTATTTATACTTGTTTATTTTTAATCAGTAAAGAGATTTTATTAAAACATATTTTAAGAGCTAAACATAACAATATGAACATTATATGCCTTATGTCAACATATCTTGTAAATCTCAATCAAATTCGATCAACACAAATATGAAATCAGAATTAGTTTTAAATCAGATTCTATCGATGTCAGTAAATCATCAATCTCTATTATATGTATATAAATACCACTAATGAATTCAATAGATACCTATATCGTGACGATCAATGAAGTAAACATTACATTATTGTTAGAATGCATTTGATTTAGAGGAATCATTTAAAAGTGTCTAGCTAATAAACCAGTTGGTTGTTTATACACACTCTTATATTGTTTGATTTTTTTTCAAGCCTCAATTATCACTAAAAATGATAGAAACTATCCAAACTAATGTTTTATCTGTATTTTGTATTCAATTTAATTACACATGCGTGTATCATATCGTTATTATATAAAACTTTTCTGCACGGTCAAAACATTTAATATTTGGAATATACGAACAAGTTCATTTAATGTATCATGTTCAAACAGCTGCATATTTGCATTATTATCTAATATGAATAAACTATAGCAACTCACATGCATTTGAGTTTATTCACATTTAATTTGGTTAAGCCCTTTTGTTAACTTATTTAACGGATAGAGTCATTCGTACAATAACAACTTATCTATACTATTGTACCTTTACTATTGTTGTTGAATTCGTATGCTTGAGTATAGCTTACTGCCTACTCATATATTCATTCTGCTAATCTTACTATTCGTTTAACTGATTCGATGATTCATTCATTTCACTATGTTTATATATGTACATTTTAGTCCTGTTCATTGACTCACTCATTCGACTCTCTTTCCCGCTTGCTTTTCGGCACTACTCTTTCATGCTTGCTTAGTGTACCTGTAATTTTGGGTATTTTTACATTTGGCCTGACTGATCAAGAGAAAACGACTAGTAAGCTAAACACATAACCCATTTCTTCCAACAGCATGCCTCGTTTGTAATCTCTCACCTGCCGCTGAGTCTTTAGATGTCCGGTAAATCGTCTGGCTTTCAAAGAATAACGTGTCCCCCATTTTCCGATCTAGCACCATCCCATCCTCCTAAAATGATTTTCATCTTGTCATTCACTTAAAGTGAAGACAGACGTGAAACAAGAGAGAAATATTTATATTCATATGAAGTAAATTCACAAGAAGGGCTCTTAAAAGTTGTCAAATAAGGAAACAAAACGAACAGAAAATGGTATGCAGATATTGAGATAAATCAGAAAATTGTGCGATTGGTTAAATAATTTTCGTCACAAAAGCCATCGCTTTAACTACAAAAAGGCTGAAGTAATGTTTTCAGCGTTCAATAAGTTACTTTGGTTAGTTTAGTCGTTAAAATACTTCTCGACAATTTTCCAGTAAGATTTTGATTTAACCGGTTTTGCTCACTATGTTTATTATGCAAAAGATTTTCCTTGTTTGATTCAATTAGCTTTTATTTGCAAAAAAATAATCACTTTCCAGATTCTGTAATCAGGTCTTCAGTCCACTGTGGAATCGTGAAAATATTGATAATATTACAATATCATTTAAAGAACCATTCGGAACCGAAGGACGTGGTGGGTATTTTGATCAATTCGGAATTATTCGGTAGGTAGAAATTCCCTTCCACCTTAAAAAATGTATTTAAACGTGTCAAATTACGAGATTATGAATGATAGCTCATTGTTATTCAATGAAAATATTTAGTTGGTTCAGTGCAGATTCGTTTAATTTTTTCGGTTTAATTATATTGTGCGCGATATTACTTCTGTATTTCATGGTTTCGGCTATATGTATAGGGTTGCGGATACGCGTCGCTGACGAGTCCCAGGTCGGAACGAATCAATTAATCGATTATTCTTGGTCTTCAATGATTCTCCAGCTGTCGTAAGTTTGTGGATAGAATTATCTCGAAATCATAGTTTGACATCATAATTTCCACATATCGGTTATTTTGACATCAGTTGCGATCGTAAACTGAAGTCAGTTGAATAACTTATGAAATCATTGTTGGCACAAACAGTAGTATTTTTGTATTCATCATCGGTAAAGTATAACTTCAGTGATAAACTCTATTCATCTTCAAGTTTAAGATGTACCATCAAGTCGTTATTGAATAAGTTATATTGAACTTTAGCTAATTCACATTCTCAGCAAATTCACGAAAATTATTATCTGACTACTGACAGTAAACATGAACTATGTGTCAGTCACTCGGCGTAAAAATGGAGCTTCATTGACAAAAATGTAAAGTGTATATCTTTATATGAACAACCTGACTGTTTAAATGAATGGGCAGGTAATATTATAATCCGAAACAATAACACATTCACAAGGTTCAAGTGCTTGGAGTAATTAACCAAGAAGACAGTCATCTAAAGTATCGCTATTTAAATTAAAAAGACCCGTTCCCATTCAATTTATGAAAGATGCTTTATCGAACCAAAAAGATTTTGAGGGTAGACGTCAAGAAATTTATAATTTTTTCTTGTTAGGAATGATTCATTTAATTATCTGTTGGGTGTATTCTTTGAGAGACATGAGAAAATGTATGATCTAGCGCAATTCAAATGGAGCGCACTTCAACTCAATGTTATTAGGACGAATTGACACCAAGAGAAGTAAATGAATCGAAATAATGACATCAATAATAGGCGATAATCTAAACTAGAAAAATGGCTTTAAAAAATCAAACAAATAACATTAATTAATGAGAAGTATATTTTAACACCAATGTTCAGTGAATTGAAGTAAAATAATCAATGAATGGTGTATTATATATCGCATTAATTTTAAGTCACATTACTAATTATTAATGATATTGTTAGATTTGAAATTGGTGAAATTTACAATTAATAGTTTAGTATACGCTGTCATTATAAATTCACTTTTCAAAATTATCAATGTAAATAATTCATTTAAGTTGATAAAAGAATTCTCAAATAACTCTTTGTTAATTTTTGAATGATATCGAAGTCTACCGATTGATTGAGACGTTACATAATATTATCAAATGCAAGTCCATTTCGTGATATCATATATTTAACATTAGTATAGGAACATTAGCATATGAACATTGGTATAAGAGGGCGCCAAATACATATGCACCATGCAATAACAATGAGACCAGTAGCAGTTACCATTGATTTATGTGAGGTCTGTGATACTGCCCTGGTGCCCAAACCAAAACAGATGGTTTTCTTAGGAGGCCACACCCGGAACATTTAACCTAGAAGCTTAATCCACAAGGCACTGGAGCAACTTTAGAAGATGCGGTCCCATGGTAGCCGGTGACCAACGATTGGTTTATACGCTATTTGTTCCTTCAGGATACTGGAGCTCATGTGCACCATTGGTTTGGAATGAGGGTTTTCCAACTCCCCTAGGTGGACTCTCCGTGTCCACCAAACCGGTTAAAGAACCGGACATTCGCTTTTCTTCCTCTCAGTTTCGTAAACAGCACCTGCCGACACGAGAAGGCAGTGAGTAGGACTTCCCTGATAGAGGCTTTATATGCGTGGCCATGTGAGAGCATTTCGAGAGGGAGAGCGGACTGTCCTCACCCTCGGCCGTACCAGGACATTTAGGGGTTTCTATGCACTAAGGTAAACATTTGAATTTTAAAATTTTGTATTTCATTGTGTTGATTCATTTAAATAGACAATATATATTCTCGTGAATTCATCTTTCTGCTTTTCTCATACTATTTTCATCGCTAGTGATGTTGTTCAGAATCATCTTATTCAAATTCTTTCGTTGGTAGCAATGGAAAAACCTATTTCAGTTAATGCAGATGATATACGTGATGAGAAGGTAGATTGTAATCATTTTTGTTTTATATTTCATCTTGATGTTGTTACCGATATTGATGCTTAGTTTGATACTAATTTTATAGAGTTGTATTTATCACAGGTTAATCTCAGTTGGACTACAAATAAAAACCAGGAAGCGAAACCATTGTCACCGGTGGCATTGAACGGTCATTATGCTATATTATCACAAATCTATATAAGCTAGAATTATACCACTGGAAGCTGACCCAATGGTTCCAATGGTTAGACGTTTACCACGAGAACTGAAGCTCTAGGTTCAGTCTCTGGCAAGGTCGTTGACACATGCTGCTGCTGAGTTTTATACAAGGATAAAACTGCTGTCTAGTGACCCGTGGGTTTTAGTCGTACACGGACTGAGTTCAGTATAAGGAATACAACCTGCAAATTAAACCCATCTCCACAAAACTCATTCAACCAAACTAATGATGATTTATTTTATCTAACAAAATGTAGACTTAAAATATTATCAATATTACAAGAATTTGCTTGAGGAACTTAGTGAAATGCATTATTCATTATATGAGGAGTTATTTATGCGCATGTTCATGACATATTCAGCCTATATTGACTAGACTGTGTATTTTTGAAGTAGTTCAGTGCATTTGACAGGATATTTAAGGGATGAGACTATTTTATTTAATGAATACTGTCCTTCATCTTATTTGACTCGTGTCTATTAAAACGAATTTACTTTGTTGTAAGAATTCTTTGCTTTAATCATAAAAATTGTTTAAGTTACTGTGCTAAATGTACTAAGTCTCTGTGCCATCTGTCCTTAGTAGCCATGTGACGGCGTAAATCCCAGCAAGATAGTATAGTTCTGATGACAACAACTGTATACAATCTAAAAGACAACATGACAACTGTTGATTGTCACATATAGTTTCTTAATGAGATACAGATTTCAAGATAGCTCGAATCTTTGGTTGGAATTACTCACTACGAGTATGAAAACGGTAATATTAAATGACCTTTTCGTTGGTCGAAATCTGCAGATCGAAATAGTGTAATTAGATCAATCTCTCAAACCATACAACGCCCCCAAATGCCCTGGTACGGCCGAGAGTGCGCAGCGTCCGCTCTCCCTCTCGAAATGCTCTCACATGGCCACGCATATAAAGCCTCTATCAGGGAAGTCCTACTCACTGCCTTCTCGTGTCGGCAGGTGCTGTTTACGAAACTGAGAGGAAGAAAAGCGAATGTCCGGTTCTTTAACCGGTTTGGTGGACACGGAGAGTCCACCTAGGGGAGTTGGAAAACCCTCATTCCAAACCAATGGTGCACATGAGCTCCAGTATCCTGAAGGAACAAATAGCGTATAAACCAATCGTTGGTCACCGGCTACCATGGGACCGCATCTTCTAAAGTTGCTCCAGTGCCTTGTGGATTAAGCTTCTAGGTTAAAGGTTCCGGGTGTGGCCTCCTAAGAAAACCATCTGTTTTGGTTTGGGCACCAGTGCAGTATCACATCCCTCACACATATCAAATGAGATCTGTGTGGCTTATATGTATTTGGTTCCTCCTTGTACCAATATCCATGTGTTAAAATAAATAAAATAAAAACCATACAACAGCAAACTGAACATTGTTCAATGTTCCATGTTTCAAGTCAAATAATTAGACACCTTGATTCGGCTTTTAACATCGCTTAGTATTTTTTGTGTACATTTTACATAAAACTATTGGGTTGTCGTAAATTAAAACCAGTTTCTTTTCCTCATGTAGTATACGAAATATTTGAATCATCGTTGACTCAATGTTCAAGTGGACTGTTGTAAAACATCAGTCCATAAGCGTTAATCTTAATTGTTGGTCAAAGTTGGTCGATTAGTAAATACAGTGAAAATTCTTACTGATACAAATCTACCATAAACTCTATCTCATATATGTATATTGATACGAAAAGAGTGGTACTGACATTGATACCATAATGTATTTTGAGAAGGATTAATCTATACCTCTTAACTATATTTCCTTTGAAAATAATATTGTCAATAGTTTCTATCTTGAGCTGTAAATCAATAGATTATCGATTAATCAGGAATCTCAATAGGATTTTCTTAGTTAAGTTATCGTTAGCAATTAACAGGTAGTCCTGAATGTTGTAGTCTTCAAGTTAGTTAAGACCCATTTGCTAGGCATATCTATAATCCATAACGAATTGAGTTTCGCTGTGGCATTCGAACGCGTCACATTGAGAGATAATAATACCAAACTATTCGAGCAATGAGTAACCTCTTATTGGACTAAAATATTTATGCTTATTAATCACTCAGTAGTAACAAACGTCATACTGTCCACTTCTCATTCGTAATCCATTCCGTGACTACTAGTTTAAGTGGTTCAACATCAAGATGCACTCTGTTTGAATCTGATAGACTTTAATAACTGGATAACATTTAATTGGTTATTGCGAATTGATCAATTGGTGCAAAAGTAGTTTTCGTGCTTATTTTGCTGTTCACAGTCGGTTGTTATCTCATATAAATAAAACCTTTAATTTACTTCAAAGTAAAAATCAATAGCGAAGTTTATTGAATAGTTTCTCACGTGTTATTTTTCATATAAGTTCACTTAAAATTTGAATATAAAACACGTAGAAAGTTGATTATAGCGAAAATGGTGAACAGTGCTTGTTCAAATGTTATGTTGCTGAAATAAGACATCAATAGTTGCCGAATTATGTAATACAATCAAATTCTAGCATAGTAACAACATTTTTAATTAGGAAGTTAAAAAGGTTGTTGTGAAACCGATAGGCTGCATAATGATTAGTAACAAAGTTCAAAGTCATATGTGGTCAGCAGTTAACAATAGCTATAAAGTAGGAAACAATCGAAAATTACGGTAGTATATTGAAATGAGATTTTGTGTATGAAAATCCTTTTGAATAAGGTACTACGTAATAGTTTAAAATGTAGGTTACCGGTTGAGTCTCCAAGAGCTCTTGTGTACATTTCTCGTGAATACAAAGAGTTGATCTGATAAAACCGATGTCAGCTGTTGCCAGCCAACTTACATGCAGATATTGTAGCGAACTGGATGATAATCGATAAATTAGTTGAAAAAACTTCATTCAGTTTAAGTTGACTTCCAGTGTATATCAAGTGAGAAAGTAGGAATCTCTCGAATAATATTATTTTCTCTTTATTAAATAATGATGGGTTTTGTTCAGAAATTCAGTAATAAACGTGTCTGATTAGATTTATGCTGTGACTAGTTACACAAAACCTGTTGAATCGTTACATACCCATGGAAAATCCAGAAAGCTCATCTTTGTTCTTATCTATTGAAATCGAAATATTCGCGCGTGATTCTGAAGGTCCTGGGTTTGAGTTCCGCGAGAGGGGTCGTGGATGCTCATTTTTGAGGAGTCCTACTCTAGGACGAAACAGTCGTTCAGTGACTCCAGTCCTTCGATGGGCGGTTTAACAGTGATCGATTAATGATTTCAGCGAGATATTTAAGTCACACATTTTTCTAAATAACGAATATTTAAAATTATTCCACATGATTCTGTAAGTTGGTGACAAATATTTGTACTCACATGAGTTTGACACAATCCATAAAGCTTGTTTGTCATACTGTAAACTGTATATGTATTTTTAAATTATTATTTTCTTTTAAATTATGTAAACCGTTAATACTAAAGACAATATGTGTTATTTGAATGGGTATTTGCACGGTATCACAGTTTCGTTGACATTTTAACTACACCCATCAGCCTATACAATTTATTTCTTCTTAACAATTTCCCTTGTTTTTGCCACTATATGCCTGTGTAATTTTCTCATTGTATTAACGTTTGTACTATACCTCCAATTGATTGGACTAAATCGATGCTTATAAATTGCTAAGTAGTTTGTATACTCTACAATATACTATGTATCTGATCTTTTTTATCCCTTGGGCAATATTTTTCAGAATATTTCTGTGAAGTTGTAGATTAGTCGAATAAGTTTTAATGACAGAAACGTTTGTTGTCGATTTCCTTTACAAAGCATGTGAATTAGTTCAATTAAAACGTTATTCAATGGCTCCCCCTATTTTTACATCAGTTTTATTATCATCAAAATAGTTTCTATTTACCCTTAATCAATTTGACCTCTTATAAATAAAAATAATATATTTGTAATATCCCAATGAGTAGAAAATTGGATTTTCTGACGTTTCGTGGCTTAGTGTAAGTCACTTATTCAAATTTGACCTCTTGCTTATGGATTTTTAACAATAAATACTATACTAGAATAAAATAATTTATTCATTCTTTAAGAAGTTTTGATTTGCTCTCCAAATGATATTAGTTTTTTATCGTAATTATAATACCTAGAACTTATAAATTAACGAAATGTCTACAAAATCATTTTAACTTGAATAACCAATCTCTAATTCACCAGTTATGAACTCAGATTCTTGCCTACTTTTCTAATGATTAAGTTTTGTCAAAATAATTTATATCTTTTAAGCTGTTTCCTTTATTCAGTTAATTTTTCTACTTTATAGTTCAGAATACAGTTAGCCAATGTTAAAATGTCATTTGAGGATTCAGTGTTTGTTTCTAAAGTGAAAAACACTTTTCATTTGGAATTTATTTTATCTATATAAATGTAGTAAAGTTTTCCTTTTATTGAGTATTTTCAAACATATTTTATAATGTAATGTATAATCTAATCTTTATCTAAAATACCTTGGTTACTAATTATAAACTGTAATGAACCCTATAATTAGCTTATTTTTCATTTTGAGAACTTATATTCATTTGTAGAATAATCTGTAATCAAAAATTATTACTTTTGGGTGGGAACAGTTGAAAGTAAAAAAACAAGTAGTAAATGAAAATAATTTGCCTCGACTAAATTGTTATTTCGTTTTCAATTTTACATTTCTAAGTTGTTTGTTGAATAGCAAATAAAAAGCTACAAATACATGAACTACATCATATGTATAGCTTCCTTTGATGGTATCTTTCGATACTCCTACACATATGCACATTTTAATAAAACTATATTATAGATAATTTCGTTGAAACAATAATTTATTTACTACCTTTAAGTGACGCTAAAGTGGTCTTCAGAATGTCCACTTACTTACTAGGGCTAAATGAGTGTTATAAACCTGTGTGAAGAATAAGAATTATGATTTACAGTTGATGGTTAGGGTTAAGAATTAGATTTTGGGTTCTCATCACGAACTGATATAAGTTAAAATGTCAAAATACTCTTTAACCAGATGGATGAATGAATTCCGCAAAAAAATTCAAGACCTGTTATCTTAAGCCTGATTGGTTAGTCCATAAATTATAGTGTCGTCAATAATCCTTAATATAGGCTAAAACATAAATATCAGTCTATGAAAAAACAGTGTAACATTCAGTAAGCTGTTTCAAACTGAATTACAAGCTTTCTCAAAACCATAAAATAAAAACGATCAGTGAATCGCTACTATTCTTTAGAATTTTGTCTTGTTAATTCTACTCTGTGACATCATTTCTTAGCACAATTTTCAATAACATGATAAATACCCAGATAATAAAGAGTATTAGTGATTTTAATTGTGGTTTCCTATTTGTGAGTATATACATTCATTTTAATACATTAAATACATTATTAGCATAGTTCTATTCATATGATACTGTTATGTATTGAGAAACTCACTTAAATTTGCCTTTTTGTTTGTCTTCACTTACATCTAACAGAAAAATTTCAATTGTGGTTACATTAATAGACATAAAATCTGAACAAGTGGTATAACACAATCTAATAATGAGTTGTTTTATTGTTTCAAGATTATTAGTACCTATCTCTTCACTTCTATCGTGGAATAAGCTTTTTCTCGTCGATAAGAAACGTGAGATATGAAGTATTGAGTATTATAAACACGATACGAATTCATTGTTTTCATCCTAGTTTATTTGCATCTGTAACATCAAAGATATCAGATTTTTCATATTTGTATATTCGAGGTGTATGATCCCGACCGTAGCAGCTACCTTGACGCGGTGGTCGGGCTTGCCTATCGTGATGACCCAACCGAGCTATATTGACTGGAACATATGTTCCTGTAGGTTCTACCATGCCAGGCAGGTCGATTGGAGAACGGTAAGACAAAAAATCAGCAACTCAAGGTCTGAGAGCGAAGTCGTACTGCTGACTGTAGACGGGTGTGACAGCAGTAAGGTGTTTCCTTCGGACAACCAGCATATACAGCGATGCTGCCTTCTCACAAGGAAGGAAGGGGTTGAAAATGGTCGACCCTAAAAATGTCACATCTCACCTTACCTCACGGATTTCCGTCTCCGGCGGTGAGGCCCTTTGAAGATCGGAGCTAACACGTCAAAAACATCCCACAAAAAGGCCGTGCGCGACCGGCCTCAGGCAGTTGTCCCTTGGGCTCTGCAGTAACGCTCTCAGGCCGTTAAGGTCGACATTAATCCGGATTTTTTTTCAGGTTCCTCAAGAAATACCCTTCCACGGCGTGGGCAGCTGGGAAGTGACACCAGCCCTCATACCCGTAAAAGCACACGAGACCAAGTTGGTCACATTCAAATCCTTCCTACTGACTGACTGACTGGTGTATGATAAAATAAATTAGTGAATTTCATCGTCATTTTTTATTTGTTAAATTTTTCTGTTAACTAATGTTTTAGATCTTTCTATTTGGTAAAATCTATTTGCGACAAAAATGTAAATTTTTTAGTCGTACTGATAAAATTTTAAAATTCATTCGCAGTTACAATTTCTTGAACAACAATATGTCATTTTAACATAAATCATCAAAAATGGAGTAGATTTATAACCTTTGTTTGAAACTTGTCGAAAGTTTTCTCAAACGAAATCGGACTCGTAACTTTCAGACCGCTTGACTAACACATCATTTAGTCAGTGGTACAGAATTCAACAGTTTATACATTAAAAATTAGTCAATCCGCGATATAACGCAATCTGCGCTCAATAGTATCAAAGGGTTACTGTCTGACTGTCGGTTTTGTCAACTTTACATGGTACGACTTCCCAACAGAACTTTCAAAAAGATCTATGTCGAGCACATTATTGCTATATGTTGCGGAGTGACTGAAACGAGAAATCTGAATCATCTAGTTTTTACCCTACCGTTCAATCGTAACTTGTTCTAAGATTCAGTTGTGCTAATTTATTTCTCGTTATATTATGAGTGGCTTCTACTGAATACTCTTAAATCTAAGTGTTGGCTTTTGGTGTTCCGTTGCTTTTTGATAATTGTTCAGTAAATAAACTGGAATCATACGGCTAGGTAATCTCAACCGATGATAATCAAATGTTAGATATTCCGTCGCTAGAAAACATTTTCATCGTGCTTCAAACTGCTGACATAAAATTATACGGTGGTTATTTCGTAACGAGGACGTAATATATCCAAACGCCTGTCACTCTCTCTCTCTCTCTGGTTAGCTGTTACTGGATTCCAATGAATATTCGCTCTATATATATTAAATATGTTTGATGACATCAACGTGTGCTCGTAACTGCACTTAAAATATCACTTCATAAGTACATGATCACCACTATAGTTTTTACGTATGCTACCAATATTTCGTGGTTTAATTATGCCAGGTTTTAAGCTAAATTATTCTACCGTTTAATTTATGTACTGTAAATTATTTTTATAGTTCGTTCGTGCTTAGTTAATAACAGGATTATATTAAGGATGAAAACATGTGATATTATGTTATGATGGTAGTGTGTGTGTGTGTGTGGACGTAGAAAACAGTGTAATGTTTTAATAATACATACTTTCTTCCTTTATTATATTCTTTTTAGGTTCGTGTGCTTCGAAGCATTGAACCTCTAACAATAGACGACATTGTAATTGGACAGTACGTTGCAGATCCGAATGCAACAAATCCACCTGCTTCGTTGTCTTACACGGATGATCCATCAGTTCCTAAAGGTAGTCCAACTTTTTTCCAGTTTTCAACCTGAAGCCTTTATACAGTTTTTAATAACTGCGAGATTTTTTTGTTGGTAAACCAATCGTTGGTCACCAGCTACGATGGGACTGCATCTTCTAAAGTTGCTCCAGTGCCTTGTGGATTAAGCCTCTAGGTTAAAGGTTCCGGGTGTGGCCTCCTAAGAAAACCACCTGTTTTGGTTTGGGCACCAGTGCAGTATCACATCCCTCACACATATCAAATGAGATTTGTGTGGCACATATGTATTTGGTTCCTCCTTGTACCAATATCCATGTGTTAAAATAAATAAAATAAACAATGTTAGGCGACTTAAAATGACTTGTTTTTTCATCTTACTGTGACACAAATCTTGAACTTTACTTGTCAAGGATACTTTGTATAGAATATGTGAGCAATCACCTATCCTTATTAGTGAATATTTATTAATGATTAGCTTTTTGATTACTAGCAATGAGATACTTAGACATTTTATCGTGTGTATTTTTGTATGTGTGCTAGAGTGTTGTCTTCATTTGATTACTCTTGGTTCCAAGAGTTTAACGATCATTGTTTGATTTAATAATTCATTCTGGTTACCTAAAGCATTTCAACTCAAACAGTAGATACTTAGTATTCTAAATCAATCATGCAAATGATTTACTCAACTGTTATCCTGTTATTCACCAAAGGTATATAACATGATCACCCCTGTCACCATATATGGTAATATTCACTTGTAATTAATTGCTTAAGAAATATCAGTTGTATATTGTAAAGGCATCAAATTAAAGACGTACACAACACAAGTTTTTTAAGCTGCAAATGATGATTCACTCATTAAGACTAGGAACTTTAGCAGGTCTGAATGAGTGTGGTCGTTGTTATAGTTACTTCATGAGTTACTTTAACAAAAATATGAAATCCTTGTCAGTTAGTTAGAGGTAGTGATTAGAAAACTGTAGACCTGGTTTACTTACTACTTTGGACCTGTTAACAAGGCGTACCTTCAGTCTTAGGGGAACTGGTGCTTCCTATCAGGTTCGAATTCGCGTCACTCAGCTCTACAGTTTGAGATGTTTTTGTTTGGAATGTAACAGATCTGGTTTAATGTAGGTGGCCAGTATTACAAGATGGATTGTAATGATGCAATGAATAGAAGAAATATCGGGGCGATTAATGTAACCAAGTATTCAATTTGTTCATACAACCAAACCTTTAATTCTAATTGAAAATTCTTTCGATGACTGAACTGCTAAGCAACTGGCCATATATTTTTGGGAACTAAATGTGTCATGTATAACGCATAAAATATTTAACAAACATAGTCCGATCTTAAGTTACATATATGGCAAACTTTAAAAAAACACCAAGAAATTCAAGGTACTATGCAAAGCAATAAGATTATATTTCTAATATCCGCATGAATCTACTTGTACCGATTGATGACCTTATTTGTTTGCGATATTCTCATTTTTCATTGTTCCAGTTTACGAATTTCTGAAAACACTTCACTGTACAATATTTTCACTGTGATCACTATTAAAGTTTGTAAAATATTAGTTATATTTAGAAACCAATAATCTTAAATTTTGATATCGACTAAACATTATTGTACAGCCAAATGATTTTCGATTTTTTTTTAAAATTTTCTGAACAATTTTAGATTCCATAACACCTACTTATGTATGTGCTGTGTTATATGTGAGAAATGATCGTTGGAAGGGTGTTCCATTCATTCTCCGGGCAGGGAAAGGTTAGTTTACATGTTGTTTGTGTATTTTCACTTTTCATTTATTTATTCTTGATCGAGTTTGTTAGAAAAATATGTACTATCAAAATTCTCTAGCAATTTTCCAATCGATTTGTTTAAGTGGTGTAACATCTGGAAATAACAATGTAAGCCTCGTTGATTGAGGTCGGACACGTTTTAAAGATATATACACATTTACCTTGTACGCCAGCTTGTGATCTTATCTGCATTTATATGAAATAAATATGTAATGTAAGCTGCTTGTTTAATGGTCTATACATGTTTCTGTATGTTTTTAATTTGTACCTTTTTATTCTAATGGTGTAAATAATTATGCTAAATCCTGACTTCTTTTAATGATTACATACTTGTATTTAGTTTGCATTTGAACTATTATTGTAAATTATGTTCTTCAAAAAAATATATCATACAGTAACACTGGTTGACGATTCAAGGAAATCTACTTCCTGTTATATTTAATGATTATTTAGTAAAAAGCATATGGATAGCGTCCTGTGGACTTGAAATACTGTTATCTATGTGCCATACTGAAAACCTAAGGATATTTTACGTACATTTTTGTTTACAAGTTTTAAGGTAGCTTTGATTATCAGATCTTCATTGACAATATGTTTATCTGTAAAAAACAAAATCCATTATGCCATATACATTTTAGTTTTCATAGAACTTTTATTTAGAATACGAAATACTCTGGTGTGGATCTGTTGCCTGGAGAAAGACTTCTCGACCTTGAGTATGCGGACGATATTGTCTTACTGTGCGATAATGCCCAAGGCATGCAATCCGCACTTAATCAGTTGGCAATCAATGTCCGTAGGTATGGTATGTGCTTTGCACCTTCGAAGTGCAAAGTACTTCTACAAGACTGGCAGGATTCCAATCCTGTACTCACCCTGGATGGTAAGCAGATAGACGTAGTCGAGAAGTTCGTGTATCTGGGTAGCTGCATAAGTGCTGGTGGGGGTGTGAGTGATGAGATCAATGCACGAATAGTGAAAGCCAGAGCGGCTTATGCCAATCTGGGCCACCTTTGGCGCCTTCGTGATGTTAGTCTGGCTGTAAAAGGCCGGATCTACAACGCGTCGGTGAGAGCAGTTTTGCTCTATGCTTGTGAAACCTGGCCTCTCCGAGTTGAGGACGTTAGACGACTCTCTGTGTTCGATCATCGCTGTCTCCGAAGGATTGCTGACATTCAGTGGCAACACCAAGTCAGTAATGCAGAGGTTCGGCATCGTGTGTTCGGGCACAGAGATGATAACTCAATTGGTGTCACCATCTTGAAACACCGACTTCGGTGGCTTGGACATGTTCTCCGAATGTCGTCCCAGAGAATTCCACGTCGTGCATTATTTGCCGACTCTGGGACTGGTTGGAAGAAGCGGAGAGGTGGTCAGTGCATGACATGGTGTCGTGGCATGAAAGAAAGCTGCAAAGGACTGGCTTGTGTTGGTCCTTCACGACTCCCTGGTTGGGGTCCGAGAGATGGTACGACACAGTGGCTAGAGACGTTATCAGATATGGCTCAGAATAGAAGCCAGTGGCGATCCTGCTGTAACCTTCTTTTACTTTCTTCATAAAAAGTGGTTGTATCTTCCTTAACTGAAAGATTTCTTCTGATTGTACCTCTTCGTCATTACTCTCTCTTTCTTTTGCGTTCCTTAGTTTTTTTTTCTTCTTTTTTTTCTTTCTACTTCTCTTCGAATTCCCATTGTTTTGTGTGGCGCATATATATTGGCGCTCTCTTGTACCAATATTTATGTGTTCAAATAAATAAATAATAAATAAAATACTCTGTTAAAACTCCAATCTTTGGTATTAATGAAACTTTTCGAGAAAACTTAAGACATATATGGCTACCAAAACTGTCTATTCAGTAATGCTATTTTGGTTATGGGATATGATCACAAAATAAAAGACAGAAAACTTTCAATGCTTTGCTTTTCAATATTAAACTTAAGAAATTTATTAATATGGTGAACAGTTCAATGTTTGAGACTATCAGACAGTGTGTGTCATCATCGTGAATTTCGATACGTTTTCCTGTATTTGAACAGCTAGATAATGATTTAATCTCAGCACAAGAGTCATGCCGTACTTCAGTCGACCGTCTTCTTAACAGAAATTTAATAAATATTATTAAATTTGGTAAATGATATGGAAATTCATCTTCTGTTAGTTTTGTACCGAGTACACACCTTTCTTTCATTATTAAGATAGTGATTGTCTCATATTAGACGTTACTGAGTTTATTTCGGTCAATCAGTAGAAAAAAGATGAGAGAATTATCTTTTTTATGCATGAGTTAGCATCCAAAACTCAGGAATTTAATGGGCAATATTGTTGGGTTTTCACCGTCGGTCATGGATAGAATTTTGGTTTACTGATATTCCATGGAAGTGTCATAATGTCTCTTAAATGATTCTTGTTTTTCAGACATATTCATTACTAGTATCATTATTTTCTGGGGAGCACATTATTTAATAAGAGGATAAGTATACTAAATTCACTTGATTTAAAAAAAGGTCATTATGTTTTTTAGATTGTAATTTGTAAACGTTTTCTTTTGCCTTTACATCTGTTTTTTTTTCAAATTTCTGGTATGCAGCACTAAATGAACGTAAAGCAGAAGTCAGAGTTCAGTTTAAAGAACCTCATATTCATCTTTTCGGTTCAAAAGAAGGTCTACCACGTAATGAATTAGTTATACGTGTACAACCGGACGAAGCAGTTTATATTAAATTGAATGTGAAATCTCCTGGTATGAAATTTCAAACAGAAGAAACTGAATTAGACTTAACTTATGCTCAGCGATATAAAGTATAGTTTTCTTTTCTCTTCTATTAATGTATTATTAAATATTATCAGGCCATCAAACTACCCGACGCTTACGAACGATTGATTCTCGATGTATTCTGTGGAGTTCAGACAAATTTTGTACGTTCTGATGAACTACGCGAAGCTTGGCGTATTTTAACACCGGTATTAAAATACTTGGAAGAAAATAAAATCAGTCCATATCCATACATTTATGGGAGGTAATTGAAATATATTTTCCTTTTCATTGCACAAATTATGGTCAGATTCACCTACTGTTTTGAAACTTTTATTAACAATTCATAAGTTGAACTGGCTATCTCAATGAAGTATGCATTAATGGGTTCAGTCTAGATTCATCAGAACATCATGCGTTTGTATTTATAACTTTGCTTATTGTAGAAGCATCGTGCTTAAAAACTAAAGCCCTTTTTTGATTACTGAATCTAAAAGGATACTTCTATAACTATGTTTACAATAGTATATAGACAGTTAAATATCTGTCCATAAAGAATTGTAGATCCGTTTGTATAGATGGAATAGACCTGTCCTATCAGCTGTCAAGTGTTTATTTAAAAGACACCAACCATAGTTATTACATGTATCTATGTTTATTTTTTTTTTAAAATTTCGAGATACTTTTTAAAATAGATGCTCACTCGGGCAATTAGATTAGTAATGTGTGCATAACAGCCAGAATAAGATATAAGCCTAAATCCACTGCCTATTAGTCTTGTTTATGTTAGAAAACGTCAGTTAACTTAATTACCATCCTTATCAACTCAACGGCTACGTATTCATAGTAATCCTAAAAAATTTTCAATTTTATAGAATGAATAAATAATGTACACTATTGAAAAAAAATCGAAATCATGATTAAATATTTATCTATTACCTCGAGTTTTAGTTATCAGATTTAGATCAGTACTGAACTAAACCCAAGAACATCTTTAACAGAGTTGATATTGACATTATGTTCAGTGACTAAATCGATTGGAGTGTTATCGACAAATGAAATCGATTTTGATCAATGGTTTATACCATGTACTCACATCTGGAGAAAAAGTCAATTAGCTATATCTGTTGATTATAAAGGCTTAATTGTATGATACTGCAACTATGTGATCACATAGTAAGCTATTGATTAATTGATATTGAATATTACTTAGTTTAATTTATGCAAATCTGACTATAAGTAAATCATATAAAAAGTGATATATTCATATATTAAATTATTTCCGGGGTCATATTAAATTCATATAAGTAGTCTTCGTGTTTTGATTACGCGCCGTCGGATTTAAGGGTTTCGTATCAAGGATAAGTCATTTAAGCAGTCAACAGACATATCACTTATGTACCATCGGTTACGAAAGCCACGCAATATTGTTCGGCCTGCTTTACTGCATCATAAATCGGACTGAATCTAAGATTCCAACCACATCTATTACCAGCTAAGTAAAGTAGACTTGACACTTAGAATCTGATGAATAGTGCAGGACGATTTATAATTAAAAGAAAAGCAAGTACACATATGGAAATTATTCTTTATATTCGTAAACCAAATGTCCATTAAATTATTTCCATATTTCTATTTCAGTCGTAATGGCCCGAAAGAAGCAGATATTTTGTGTAAAAAAGCAGGTTTTCAATACTCTGGTACATATGTTTGGAAATCAGGTTAAAAAATATTCATTCCGTCAATTTGCGATAACCCAATCAATTATATAAAAGATCCACATGTTTTAACTTATTTGAATGCCTTAGTAATTATGAACAGAACATTCGACTAATTTGTTTCTTTACAGCCAATTTGCTTTAAGATTTTATTGTAATAGCACTTTTGTAATAATATTGTCACAACAAACCATATACAAATATATAAATCTGATTAATACATATAACTCGAATACAATAGTAGTTGGTGTTGTTCGGTTAGTTTTATAATGCTTATTGTTTTGGCCCAATAAACATCACTTTCAGTCATTATTGTATACCAGTGTTACTGTTTGACACCGCAACTTTTTCAACTTATAAACACCTTACACGAGAACAGTAAATTAGCGAAGTTAAAGTACTTTTACTAGTAATCTGTGGGTCCTTATTCTATCGGAATAATTCAAATTTGCCTTGCATGACCGCATATAAATTGAACATTTCCTACAGTACTTCAAATGATTAGAATTTAGGAACTAGACAAAAAACAGGTATACATGTTTATTCATGTACACAGGATCAGTAAGAACCATATCACCTTGATGTTTTGAACTCGGGTTGTTTAACTCGAGAATGGAATACGCGGCTGATGAGTTGTCGAGGAGTGCCAACTCATTCTCCAAAGGTCACTGAAACAGATGAATAAGCTTTTCCATGAGTTCTAGTCATTTAGCCGGGAGGAAACTGGTTGTTAGACTGTTTTTCTTCGGTTGAAGGGATACCATCTAGGTATGAAAGTGTTTGGTAATATAAGTTAATTAGTACTTCGGTCTGACTGGGCTGTTTTCTCCTCGGTCACTTTAGTGAAGAGGAAACCTAAGTATCTCGTGATTTTATATTCCCTTGATATAGTAAATGCAACTGGTGACCCATGGATGTGTATATTAGTCTGCATATTCGTCAGTTGACAAAGTGGTTTTAAATAAAATTTGGTACGGCTGCGATTTATACATTTTTCTTTATCACCTTATGAGCGCTCAACAGAGCTATTATGATATTACTTATTATGTTTGGTTCTTGGTGTATGACTTTATTACTTTTCCATGATTAAGTTCCTGTGATACAAGTTCATAAACTTGAACACGAGATTCATCGTCTTTAAATTTGTTTCTCTGATGCAGAGAGGTTATGTTTTCATGCGTTCCTAATGCAGCGTACAAGAATCAAGAAAATAGCTTGTGCACAAAGCCGTTATTAAAACACTTAATAGAACAATGTGTCTATATTTATCTTATATACTGCTGCGGTAATTTAAAGTACTCATCGTTTAGTAGCTAGTAAACTACCATCTTCATACGTAACCAAAATGTCATGAAATTAACATGACTTTTTGTTGTTACTTAACCCAATGCACTTCAGCAGTGATTATGAGTTGACTTGCACTGCTGTTACATGTCCATTATATGATAACCGGTGATATAAGCTGGCTGTTAATGCATGTAATTGGAACACAATTAAAACCTAGGGCTTAAAGATGCCACAGGCACTCAGAGATTGACGACGCTTCTACACGTAACATATTTGTACTCGAAGTAAACCACCCCAGTCAAATCAATTTGAAATGAAGAGGTTCGAATGTATATTTGGAAAGCTATCTATATGTCGAGAAGCGCTTGATCTAAGAGAGCCAGCAGTTATAGAGGAGGCGTACCCACGTGTGATCTGGAGTGAATGTGGGTTTATTTACCACTATACGAGTTAACAAGGATATTCTCAGACCTAAATGGATGCTTCAGCTGTAGTGTGAATAGTAAAAGACTGTAGAAATACTTGTTCGGTGCTAAACTTCATACCATGTCTGTTAAAAAGCTGTTAAAGTTTATTTATCACCCATCTAAGTGACTTCATTGAGCATCTGCTGCCATGGTCCAGAGATAGAACTCAGAGTTGAGTGCTTATGACCTCACCATTCAATAAAGAGTAGCTAAAGGCATATCTCATGCAGATTATTTATCACTTCTAACGTCTATCACGCACTGACCGTCTTAAAGCTGAATAATTAGGAGGATACCCTAATAATGTTGATTTTCTTATTGTACACTGTGTAATCCGCGGAGTTTGTGTTGCAACTGAGCTTTAGAAGGTTACCTCTAAGACGCTTATACTCTAGTGAGGCTGCTTAACAGAATAAACTTAAACTGCTTAAACGTCTTGTTTTCACTAGATCGTCTGTATTCAGCCTATTAGTATTTTTTATTCTCAGACCGCGACTTCCTATAACATTATGTTGCTTGTAGTTCTCGAAAACGTTTGCAGGACTAGATGGTTTACAGCATGTAAGATAGTGTGTAGTGCGCGTTTAAATCGATGTACGAGTGGGCTTCCCTATTTACCTACTGTAAGTTGTTTTGTAGAGCTGATTCATCCAAAAGTTTGAAATGCCATAGTCTTTTTTGAGTAAGATTTTTTTGTCCCGATTTGTGTGATATTTATAAGTATTATTATATTAATAAGAAATCTTAGGAATGACAGAATTAAGGCACAAATTAACGTATCGTATTTGGAATTTGAAATGAATAACAACGGAATTATTAATTCATATCGACACCACATTCTGCTGATGAAATTAGAGGCTAAGAGGTCGAATTCTGGGGAGCCATAATTGAGAGTTTGACAATTGGGAATTCCTCATTTGTGAATGTGCAGTCAAAATACGACGTTCACTGCTAGTATCTCCACTGAGTTACTATCTCCATGTTTTTGAATTATCGTAAATCTTCAATGAGTTTGAAGAACCGGGCTTCAATGGAGCTGTCACTCCCAATTCTCATGTGCCCCGTGTAAATGATTCTGATAAGATTGAAGTCTCCCCGAATCAGGATGCAAGTGTAACCAAGACGAATGGGGCGAAATAATTTGTAGCGTGGTGTCGAGTCGCAGTTGACTATAAACACCAATACAAAGGAACGCGTGCCAGGATATCCATAAAATCCTCAGGGAGTGAAATACCACAAAGCAGTTAATCGACCAAATCGAGATATTTTCGTTGGCGATCTCGTGGTATTAAAAGAATACCGAGATCGTGCCAGGATAGAAGCTTGGTTACAGAGTGTAACCGAATTCGCGCGAGGTCACAATCAAAGTGTAAGAACAATGGATGCTTTTTAGGACAGTTGAAAAAAACACACGTTAAAACAGTCGCTGGTACAATTGGCTATAATAATAATTGTTTTCAGTAAACCAATCGTTTTCTCGTGATAAACGTGAGTCACTACAAATTCCTACAGCATATGATCGTCCTATACACTGTCAGCAGTAGCTTCTCTGAAAATGGTTCTAACTCAACGTCTCAAGGTGTTGGACAATCTTACGGAGTATAAAACAGATTCTATAAGATTAATGGACTCATGTGTGTACATTTGGTGTGCCACCAAGCAAGATCTAAGGTACAAGGCAGTTTTTCCGTTAATTCATATTTATTGAAGTTGTGGATCAAAGACATATTGGGTATTGCCAACTTCTAGTCTGTTATTCAAGAGGAGAACCATGTTTATAATGCTTTTTTCAGGTTTGTATTATTATCATTACCTGGTTAACGCAAATTATCCATTTTTCGGTAAACTCACAGAGTTCGTATAACGATTTCAGTTTGAAAAATGTGAGCCTCCGTGCCACGTATGTCTTGACAAGTTTTATGTGAATATACAGGCAATCTACCTCAACAAAGTTTTCCGAGTGTTTAGTCTCTGTTCCTTCTACACTTTTACCTGCATTTGGCAGTCCGCAAGTTTTCTTCAGTACCTAATTCTTGAATAATGTTACCTGTCCAGATGCATGTGGGGCGTCCATGGTGAAGAAATTAGGTTTACTGAGAAACATTAACACCGCTGATATTATGAGGTTGATGAGCTTTAGCATTTCCTTACAAGATTTGATGAGTGTTTTACCAAGATTAATGTTCTCGAAGACTCTCTTCTTAACATCGCTGGACGTCTTTTCTAACCGTTTCAGGACAATATTGGGGTCGTTTGCGATCTTTTATTTGACGTGTCAAGAAGATGGTAATGTTCAGTAAATCCTCAGCATCTATGTTGCATGAGTTACATGTCTAGTGACGGTCTGATATACTAAGTCTATTGTTGGCAGATTCGTGCAAAACTTTCCGACTGTAACAAAAAATCAACATTTATGAGATGGACAAAACAAATTAAAACGAGTAGTATAGAAGTTTGGCATATTTGAAGCATCTTTGATGTCAAAAGCCACCATGCTTCCATCGAGTAAGGATACAGGAAAATATTGAGCAATGAAAATTATGTTCGTAAAGCGCGCGTGCGATTCCGTTAGAAAAACTGTAGACACTGCTTCAGTGAGTCTATTTAAATTCATTTGTAACGAAGTAATCATTGTTCTCAAGATGTCATATCATCGATAATTTTATTGGTTGTCACGATTTAGTCATGTATAACATAAAGTGTCGCGTTACTAGTGTGACCTTTGTTGTAGGCCGTCACCTTTATGAGCTTACCACATATTATTAGGAGGTCGTAGTTCTGCAACATTCAAGTTGTAGTCGTTTGTAAGTTCGTTCGAATGTCTGCTACTAGTCGATTTCAATCAGAGAAACTTATCTTGAGACAGTTATTCATTGGTGATCCCCTCCTAATAGACATGGGAGCCTGTTAAGCGAAAGCTTCTATTCCGTCCACAACCTTTTGAAGTGATCTGACTAATTTTTATGTGCTACACAGTTTTGTTTATTTATCTGAATTTGCATAATATATATCCAGAGACGCACAAATATGCAAAATATTCTCTTTTACTTTTTATGATCAAATTAGGGGACCCCTGTCTTTCAAATTTCGTAATAATCTCACTAGTCAAGATTATTTCTTGCTATCTTGCGCCTTTCCTTTCTGAAAACACTCGCTATCTAATATAAATCTCAATTCGCGTTCTGAGGAATAAGAACATCGTTGCCTTTTTAATCGGGGTTTTAACCTCGTATGCGAATAATACTAGTGTACGTTTTGGCGACGTGCAGACTATTCAAATGTCACTTAATCAGTAAGTAGCTAGCTTAAACGAAATGATATGTAGTTTGTAATATATACGGCTGCATATTTTGTTAGATGTGCTGTTTTTGGTTAATAATGTACTCTTCTCTTCAGAAGATCGAAGTACTTATGTAAAGCCCTCTATATCTCGTACTATCCGAAGTATTTTCTGGTGAGCAATTTAAAATGGTCGCAAAGGTTATGTACTGGGTGCCTATGTTATGCTTGTAGTAGTTTTAAACAATTAACCTGTGTATGCTAATAATTAGTGACTTATTTCAATTAGGGTTTTATTTAGTGACACCACTTTGTTGTTGTAGTCGTCTAGGCTGTGGTGTGCAATACATCAATCCAAGCAGTTTCCTCTGATTGTGTCAAATATGTCGTCTTTGAAGGCTAGATAGCACCCAGTGGCAACACTATGTGCCCATGTATGGTGATGATGGTCCTCTATGGGAGATGCTCCGACAACTTGGACCAGCATGCTTATGTGCTGGATTATACGTGACATCTTACTATAGGGTTGTCATATAAATAATCTGCATATGCGCCTCAGTAGACCCTTTCGCTTTTCTGTTATAAACTCCCTATTGCTAGTACAGTGTAAAGTGTGACAAGTTGGGCTGATGGAGAAGATTTGTAGCTCAGGTGGATGATTTTGGTGGGGTTTTGTTCTCTGAAGTTTGTGCTGATGATGTCGGTCAGAAGAACGATAAAAGCTCCACGAACAAACCATCCAGCTCAGAGAACAAAACCCCACCAAAAGTTGGGCTGATGCATAATTGATCAACTTCCCACTCTGTTAACAACTGACTACCCTTTAATAGTTTCATAGTTACCTTCATTGTGGAATATCTATATAAAACCTGTTCGTTCAACAAGTCCGGCATTGTTTCAAAGACCTGCTTCCTCTAAAGTAAGGGTTCCCACTTGCGTCTTTATGTTCGCCCATGACCGTACCGTAAGTTATGGTAATAAAAATTCAGTATTCCCTTGAGCCTTTTATTGCAACTATCTTTACAGTACTTTACATCCTATTTATCAGTGTTTCTTTCTCTTAAACTATACCCAGCCTAAAAACCTGTCTTTTGTTGTGTCGAAATTATGCCGAAAGTATTCAGACCATCGATAAAACAAATCAAGACACATATAAAAACGTACGTTTTTATTATTACGAAAGCAAGGCTTTTAATAGAAATGAAGTTGAAACTAAAGAAATCAGACCTAATCAGGTATCCGACTCCAATCCGTCCAAGGAGTCATCACCCTGCACTATTACAAGTGAACCAAGGCCAAGGTAACAGAATCCGAAAAGCTTTATTTTATCAGTTCACCACTTCCTTCACAGAATACGTGTGAAACTCCTAAAACAGCTACTCAGAGGTAACATTTTTGTAAATACATGTTTATTTTTAGATTGATGAACCCTGACCTAGATGTCCATGTTAATCCTGAAAGGCCTCACCAAGTATCCAAGGAAATAGAAAACCTATTTGTTTCTAAAAAAGTAGTTGTCTAATCTCTAATAATTGGTTTTCAAAATTTATAGCCTCGCAAAACTAAAGTCAAGACAATGGAAGTACTACCTCCTGTAGATCAACCTCTTGATCGAGCTTCTGTCACTCTTCGCTCCTTACTGCATTGGGTCCCCATAAATAAACCACCTCCGACGTAAGTCCATTTTATACAATTACTACTAGAAAAGTTATCGACAGGAGCGTCTTAACTCCACTACCTGTTCACTAAGTGGGGACGTGGAAGCAAGTGATAATGACCTCAAATCAAATGACAATGATACTGAAACTCCTGATTTAAATGAAAATTCCCCAAAGTGTCCATCCAGTGATGTTTATTCGGACCCATTAGCTCCTCAACTACGAATCGATGCTAATGGAAATATTGTGTTGGATGAAACCAGTTTATTAGTTGAAAAACGAGAGAATTTCTATACAAAAACTTTACGGCATATTAGTGAAGAAACTGGCATACTCAGTGTTGACTATAGGAGTTTCCGACCTCCTCGTGATGGCCATGGAAGGAAATGGACAGAGCGTGAGACTACACGCTTCTACAGAGCATTGAGTACTATTGGGACTGATTTTTACGTGATGGAGAAAATGTTCCCTCGCCGGAAGCGGTCAGAACTTGTTGTAAGTTGTCCATCTCCATTGGGTTTTTTTCCACCAACTTTTGTTCTAGTTTTTCATTTATTTCCTAGTATTCTATCTCCGTGTTATTGTGTTTTTCGAAATTGTTTTCCGTTTTGTGATTATTGTGACAAATAATTGTTCATATATATATATTAAACTTTTTAACAATAATTAACTTTGACAAGTACACTTTTGTGTTTGTCAGCCACATACGACATACAAGTTAACTCAGTCCTCCATGTCCTCAAGCTGTCACACTTCGAACCAGTACAGAAAAAGGTCAGTCAGTCCAATACAACATAAAACACGCTTCAATTTACCGCAGCCCATTTGCATAGCTAAATGAAATAGTCAAGGAAAATTCAAGAATGGTAGACGTTGTAACAATATTAGTGGTAATGTAAAAAATTGGACATCGAAGATGAGATTCGAAAAAGTATAAATTAATGAAATAGAAAAAAAACTACAAAGAACCTAGAAATTTAGGACCGACAAGAGACAAAGAGTGAATAAAGCTAGACTATTGCCTAGATAATCAACCAACAATAGTATCAACGAGGGAGAATTTCAAGAATATAACTTAGAACGAAAGTGTGAGAAAACACTGAGACTCAAGATCCATAAGCACTTGCCCCACTACAACTACTTTCGAACTATATCGCTCTAGGTTTCTAACCCAATGGTCCTAACCAGGACGTTTTCGCCCCCTCCTGTTATTTCTCATTCCAACAATCGGTAACTTCAAGAACTTGTACCATTTTCTCACTTGTCAACACACAACATTCTCACAGATTGAAATCACACAACATTCTCCCAATATGCTCCCATGTTAGTTGACATTACCTATCCAAGTAGGAAAAGGCATATTGCACGTTACAAATATCCCAGCCACTTCAGTTGAGTAGAGTCCAGAACTTTGTTAACCTAATTTACACTGTACTCTACGCTTTACTTGTGCATTGCTCACCTGCTAGCTTTTTCAAGTGGAACAATGCCTCAAAAATATTCTGGTCAAACACTCAACTATCCTACAAATCCAGTAAAATAATACAAAGTGAACGACTGCGCAGTGCAGTCACTCTTGGATAGATATTTAAATATCTCACTTATCCCATATAAGTTTTAAGTTGACAAAGTCGATTATATATCTTGTTTTTATGCCGACGTCTCGTTAGCCACTAAATCAGCAGGGGCAATCAGACTTAGGATAAATAAAGTGGTTAGTGCGCTTCATTTATCCACCCAGTGTGATCAGACTATATTTTGGATCAGACCAGTGCTTTACCTTATTCTAAAAGTTTTTTCGTTGTCCCTCAAGGCACTGGAAAGATTGTTCAGTCATCGGTTATTACCTATCTCATTCGTATGCTCTAATTATTATTATTATTTATTATTTGAACACATGAATATTGGTACAAGAGAGCGCCAACATATATGCGCCACACAAAACAATGAGAATTCTAAGAGAAATAGAAAAAAAGCTAAGGAGCGCAAAAAAAGAGCAATAACGAAGAGATTGGTGTAAGGTAGTATGGTAGAAATGAGGGAACGGAAAGGTACAATCAGAATAAATCTTTCAGGTAAGGGAGACACAACCACTTTTTTATGAAGAAAGTAAAAGAAGGTTACAGCAGGATCGCCACTGGCTTCTATTCTGAGCCATATCTGGTAATGTCTCTAGCCACTGTGTCGTACCATCTCTTGAACCCAAGCCAAGGAGTCGTGAAGGACCAACACAAGCCAGCCCTTTACAGCTTTTTTTCATACCCCGACACCATGTCATGCACTGACCACCTCTCCGCTTTATCCAACCATTCCCAGAGTCGGCAAATAATGCACGACGTGGAATTCTCTGGAACGACATTCGGAGAACATGTCCAAGCCACCGAAGTCGGTGTTTCAAGATGGTGACACCGATTGCATTATCGTCTCTGTGCCCGAACACACGGTGCCGAACCTCTGCATTACTGACATGGTGTTGCCACTGAATGTCAGCAATCCTTCGGAGACAGCGATGATCGAACACAGAGAGTCGTCTAACGTCCTCAACTCGGAGAGGCCAGGTTTCACAAGCATAGAGCAAAACTGCTCTCACCGAAGCGTTGTAGATCCGACCTTTTACAGCCAGACTAACATCACGAAGGCGCCAAAGGTGGCCCAGATTGGCATAAGCCGCTCTGGCTTTCACTATACGTGCATTGATCTCATCACTCACACCCCCACCAGCACTTATGCAGCTATCCAGGTACACGAACTTCTCAACTACGTCTATCTGCTTACCATCCAGGGTGAGTACAGGATTAGAATCCTGCCAGTCTTGTAGAAGTGCTTTGCACTTTGAAGGTGCAAAGCACATACCACACCTACGGACACTGATTGCCAACTGATTAAGTGCAGATTGCATGCCTTGGGCATTATCGCACAGTAAGACAATATCGTCCGCATACTCAAGGTCGAGAAGTCTTTCTCCAGGCAACAGATCCACACCACCATCACTTACATTCATCAGAGCTGTTTCCAGAATGTCATCGATGGCAAAGTTGAAGAGGAATGGTGAGATTGGGCAACCCTGCCTAACCCCACTGCTCGAATGGAACAATGGAGAGAGGTGGTTGTATGCCCTCACTCTGTCTGAGGTGTTTTTATATAGGGCTTTCAGGATGTTAATAAACTTCTCAGGCACACCCTTCTTCAATAGACAATCCCAGAGAACAGTCCTATCCAACGAATCGAAGGCAGTCCTGATGTCAAGAAACACTACGATTGTTGGCCTTTGAAAAGTATGGCGGTGTTCTAACAGTTGGCGGAGGGTGAAGATATGATCAATACATCCTCGACCAGAACGAAACCCAGCCTGCTCCTCGCGAGTCAATCTTTCTCGGGTTTCGAACAACCTACGAAGAATGACGGAAGCCAATAGCTTGGACGCAATCGGAAGTAGACTTATTCCCGGATAGTTGTTACAGGAACGACGTGAACCCTTTTTAAAGTTAGGGACAAATATCGACTCATTCCATGACGTTGGTACACTCTCTAGTTCCCAAACCTTTGTAGACAACGTCGTCAATTCCTTAGTCAAAAAGTCACCACCATCTTTAAAAAGAGCCGGAGGTAAGTCATCTGGGCCAGGTGATTTGTAACGCTTCAAGAGTTGGAGTTCCTTGCGGACTTCCGCCTCGTTTGGTGGATCAGTCGTCACCGGCCATGGAGAGCAGGACAGTCTGACCGATGTTGCCGGAGCAGCAGGCCAGTTGAACTGCCTTTCGAAAAATTCTGCCCATCGTCCAAGACGTCGATGGATGTTAGTGATTGGCATTCCATCATCCTCGCAGGTTGTTTCGCTCACACCAGACTTCTTGCTGCCAGTGTCTCGGATGAGCTGGAAGAGCTTCCGGTAGTTACCAGATGCAGCTGCTGCTTCCAGCTCATTAGTACGCTTCGACCACCAGGCTTCTCGGTCCTTACGCAAGCTTTGCCCAATTTCCTTACGTAACATCCTTCGTTTATGGTCAAACTCACGGTCACCCGGAGTAGACCGACGGGCTTCATTGAGTTGTAAGGAACCTGGAGAAACCCAATGCTCAAAAGCGGGACGTTTCGCAAACCCACATCTGACTGTTCTCGCCATTTTCATGGCGTCATGCGATTGCAACCAATGCTCATCTATACTTTTCGGTGGAGTGGTAGCTAGCCTAGAGGCTAGCTCGGTTCGATACTTACTAGCAACAGAAGTTGCAACCAGCTTGCTAATATCAATCCGTTGATGGCAGTCACTTCGTTGTCCACTGAAAAGTAAGGTAAGATTGACGCAGACCAAGGCATGGTCAGAGTCCAGATAGGTGCTCTAAAAGGAGCGGCAGTCTTGTACACAACCACGCCAGCGGTAGCTGATCGCGATGTGATCAATCTGAGTCCAGGCTTGAGATGCAGAGGGAGGATGCCAGTTGGCACATCGGCGATGACTGTGCCGAAAGTTAGTGCTAGCCAGAAACAGGTTGTGGTCTGTTCACAGTTGCAGTAGACGGTCCCCGTTATCTGACCTGCGACCAACGAGTCCCCATCGGCCACCTAAACGACTATCCTCTGTGCCCAGACGCCCGACCTGAGCATTCAAGTCTCCGGCTAGTACTACAATATCTGTCGAACGCACTTTCTGGAGAAGAACAGATAACTGGTGGTAAAACTCATCCTTGATTGCATCCGGGCTGCAATCTATCGGGGCATAGGCGGAGATGACGAAAAGACATCGTTTCTCACGCCGATTTCTCACTTTGATGGAACTTTCTAATCTAACAGCACATAACCGACTGTTAGTGGGGATCCAATCTACTAGTGCTGCCTCAGCTCTAGCGCTTAATGCGACACCAACGCCAGCAAGACCAACCGAAGATGCCACAGGGTCCCCGGATAAGCGCACGTAAAACAAGCTTTTTGAAGTGACAGATGAAGAGCGAATTTGTAGTACTTCACCAGAGTCTTGAATACGGGTCTCGGATAGACAGCAGACATCGATATGAAGATTTTCCCAAGACATAGCCAGCTCTATCTGTTGTCCAACCTGCATAAGTGTGCGAACGTTGAAGACAGCCAGTTTGAATGGCACACGTGGTTTCAGAAAAACTGCTTCAGTACTCATATTCGGTAGTAACATACAATTTTCAACCGGACAGTGACTCGAGAACGTTTAGATACAGTCGAATTTCCACCAAAGACGAGCCGCTGTATAAGTATAAAAGTGGGTGAATAATGTGGAAAATAATAGTAATAATAATAGTAATAATAATAATAATGACAATAATAGTAATAATAATAGTATTAATAATGACAATAATTGTAGTGATCATAATTTGAATCAATTGATTGTTTTTCAAAGCGAGAAAAGTAATTTCCATAGACATAAAGAGCTCATCATTTGTGTGTGGGCTGTGATACTGCCCGGGTGCCCAAACCGAAGCAGGTGGTTATCTTAGGGGGCCACTCCCCGTGCCTTTGACCTAAAGGTCTAACCCACAAAGCAGTGGAGCATCGTAAGGAGATGCAATCCCATGATAGCCGGTGACCAACGATTGGTTCATACGCCATTTGTTCCCGCAGGATACTGGAGCCCATGTGCACCATTGGTTTGTGATCCGGTTAAAGCGCCGGACATTCGTTTTTCGTCCTCTCATTTTCGTGAACAACACCCCCGCCACGAGAAGGCAATGAGTAGGACTTCCCTGGCAGAGGCTGTATACGCGCGGCCGTATGCTCTAAATCAGTGGCAGAAGCAGTAGTTCTTAAACCATTCGTTTTGCGAAAACAATATATACTTATCGGTTGCCTAAATCCACGTGTAAGTAACTAAGTTAAAACCATTCACTAACCTAGCACTGAACTATAGCTGATCAGCAGTGGATCAAAACAGCGGATTGTTTTCAGTGTTTACTGAAGCAAATGAGGTCACTGAATATATCGAGATAGCAAACTACATTTCTTGTAATTGAATATTGCCCTTCATTTTTAAAGTCTTCGAAATACCACAGCTTCCACTTTCATTTTTTCTTTCGAAAGATATTGCTTATTATTGCTGTTCACTGCTTCAATTCATTTTTTTCAATATTATTGTGTACAGTAGTTTTTCTTGTCACACCAAAAGTTGTGGTAATTTTCTGAAACTTCAAGAATAGTGCGTCCAAACTATATTCTACAGTTTTTATAACTTCATGTTGATTTTATATCAAGCATTCAAAAGTTCCTCTTTTTGAATCTACCTTTTTTCAAAGAGTAAATTTAAACGAGAAGAAAAACGCAACCCTTATCTGGTCAACCAAGCATTACGTAAGTTAAAATCATATCAGAAGTCATTTTCATGCTTACAGGAAACCGTCGTACTTACGATCTTATTAATCTGTTCCCGTCAAGTGATGAAGAAGAAAATGCGAGACCCGATAAATCTTCAAAAAGTAGTAGGAAAAAATGTAAGTTTACTTTTTGTCTCATTAAGACTGTTTATTCCACATATTGTTACTGAGTTTTTTCGGAAAGTAAGGCTACCATTTTGCCGTTTACTTCACGAACTGTTAGCTACACCACGTTATCATGGTGTAGGAATTAACGATTTAATCAAGATTTCTAATCACATGTAGGTTAGTTATTCACTATTACAAAACTTTGTTTAGTTAGTAAGACAATTTCCATATACTTTCAAAAACAATCATGTATACTTTGAGGAAGTAAGACTTTACAGTTTACTTATGAATAACTTGTCTGCATGTGCTTATGACATTCGTATTGTTGATATGTATATATATATATATATATATATATATATATATATATATATATATATATATATATATATATATAGTCCCTGTTTCGAATAGCGTTCAAATGACTTTTGTGTGCCTAGATTTGACATTTAGTTTATTGACTGAGTATTCTATGTAACTCGGTTTAATTTCTTAATGTTTATTAGTTTTACTCCCATAGTTATGTTCTACGTGATTTGTGTTCTTAATTCGTCTAGGAGATATGTCTAATCTCATTGAAATAAATGCTACATTATAGTAAGATAGTAAAGTGTCACTTCTTAAACCTACTTTTCTTGTAATTCAACCTGTTTATCTTACATATCATTAAGGCAAATAAACGTTTGTGGCTTGTAATACATATGGTTTGGAATTAAAAGTGAGATTCTTCAGTCTTAATAACCGGACTCAGGTTTCCAACCTTGTGTTTGTATCTTACAAAAATCTCGTCTATTTTTTCGCAGCATATCATAAATTCGTTCTTATTTTCTTGAAAACCAAGTTTTCTCTGTGTGTGCAAAGTTGTTTGATTTTAACATAACAAAATGGACTACTATATTTTGTATATTTGTTCCGGTTATGTAAAAGATGAAATAAGTAGATGGTTTTAATTCTAAGTTTCCAGCTTTTATATATGAACTGAATTTGCTAATTTCGGTTAAAATATAGTAACAAATCATTATCCTATCTGATTTTTTAAAACAAATAAAACTGGCTACAAAATAATCAATCACTATCCCTCCCGTTTATTTTTGTCAAAGACAATCTATTGGTCAGTTAATTCCACATGCTTAAAATAAGTATTATGTTCATATTTCTAATTTCTATCAATTTGTACATTTTTTTATATTCTCTTTCATTGATTACGAAGACTCTATAGGCGTAAATTTACATGGTCTATAAAAAACTTTATAATAACGTGAATTACAAACTAATAATTTAATCACATCGTTTGATTTTTTATTTTTACAAAGGTTTATAATTTAGAGTCTCATTAGATCTGTTTAAGCGTTTTCAAAACTTTGATAAATATTTGTACATATTTCATAAAAATAGGTTACCAATCTGTGAACAGTCCTTTAAAAGTTAAATAATTTTGCTCGTAACAATTGATTTGCATTTTAGAACCCACCTCACATTCTTTGGTCTGTTCAACTTGGTAATATCACTAGCCTTCACGCAAAAGTTTTAGTTCGAAGCCGAATATAGGAGCTTGTATCTAGTTACGTAGTTTGCAAAGTCTGGTTAAGTGATTGATTCGTAATTTAAAGCAATTTTTGTTAGCCTCAATGAACTAGGTGAAACATTTTTCAATACTGATTAATAATTACTTATTAAACAAGAATAAACTTATTTCCAGTTTATGCCAACTAAAAGCATTCATGTCAGGTTCACTGAGTGTTTACATTGAAATCTAGAACATCAATCCTCAGTAAATTATACCAGTTCTATGTAGAAATAAACATTATCAATATCACTCGATTCCATAAAATGTCTTTTGGAAAGTCTTTTCCAACAGTAATCTTGTAAAGTAGACAGTTTAACTACAAGTAAACTTATTGTTTCCCAGTTTCTATTGTTCACTTTTTCATTAACCTCTCTTAAAAATAAAACAGCTAGATGTGATCAAGACTCAATCGAATGTAACGAACAGTCATGTAATCAAAATCTTGATGCAACAAGTAAACCAAAATCGCGAAGAAAAAGCCTGCTTCGTAGAGATCCAGATTTTGAGCGTCACCTTTCAGAAACAATCGACTGCGTTTTATCTCAATTTACGAATTCCGATGCCGGCAACCGCAAGTGCCAGTTGACTCAACATACTGGTAGTGACCAGCAGTGTAAACAAAATACTAATCACCGGTATGAGTTTAGGCATTCCTCGCGCAGTATCCCATCTTTACAACAAATGATTTCAATAAAAGAAGCAGAGCTTGCAGCGTCTGAAAAAGATAACCTTGAGACTGATATGGATTCTCCTCAAATTTCTACAACTTCAGAAAGCAACCCTGTAAATTCCTCAAAAGAAAATGTTTCTAAACCTCCCAAGTCCTACTATCGCCCGAAAATTGATCTTTTCAACCTCAGTGAAACCATTTTGGGTGAATCATGATTTTTCTACTTCTGTATATTTGTGTACATAAAATATATTCCCAGTTGTTTGCTGCTTTTATATTGACTTTTTATAAGTCAGTGATAGTTATGTCTTGTCTAGGCTAGCTAGTTAGATTAGATGCCGACTTAAAAGCATATAAATACATTGGTTCTCTCTTATTAAACTTAGGCTTGAACATATGATAACGTACACTTTGGCGTATATGCTGTCATGAAATTACTAAAACACGTTATGATCAGTATTTTGAACATCTTCCAGCACTTTCTAGTGAGATTGCTAGAATTTCATCCGAAATATGTCAACATCCTGACTGTTTCATTTATTGTAAATGACTGGCGTTTCTAGAAGGAAACTATATCTACATCCCTGTGTTTATTTCTAATCATGTAGTGTTATATACTATTGATTTCTTTGCATCTTTGATTCGAAGTCAGGTACATTAAAAGAATGAAGCTTTTTGCTGCACGTAATACTCTAGGTGTTATGAGGTTTAAAATTGATATTAGCTTCTCATGGTGTAGATGCAGGTTTGTTTAGTCACTCATTTTTTCGTTTAACGTTGATCTGACCCCGTATATGTATTAATCGGAAATATCTTCAGTTTCAAGTAACCCTAAGACTGCAGAACCAATAATTTTGTAGATCAGAATGGAGGTAAAAATCAGGAAATTTCTTAAGTCGAATAGGAAAATGCCGAAGATTGATTGATTTTTCATCTACAATGTTAACAAACAAGTCGACGATATACAAAGTCCATTGCACTAACCGCTCCATGAGCCACATTATTTCGAATCCAAAGGATGCTACATTGTGAGCGACCTTTGTACAAGTAACAAGTTGGAAATTATAGCCCTCTGTAAATCTGTGCGGTTATGGGGGTGTGCATTGTCTAATGGTACAAAAGTGTTCAACGACTGACTCATGAGTTCAATCTGTGAAAGAATAATAGTTCTAAAGATTTTCTATTCAAGTAATAAGTCCTCATTGGGATCAGTGCATTATAAGTATATTGCTCTGATATATTCAATCACAATTCTTACTAACTTTGATTATCGGCTTGGGTAGAATTCAGGACCCATATTTCGTCTTATTCGAAATATACTGACAACGATATAATACAATCTCTCAAACAGGTCAATGTTTATCAAAACTTGGTTCAGTGCATAATGCGTTGTGAGGCAATAGACATGTTTTCTAGAAATCATTTTGGAAATCCTCATTGAAATGTAGACTTATTCAGCTGACGATCCCAAAATGTTCTCACAGCAAGCCACAATTCTGTCTTACGGAGGATCACATATTTCAACGACCTTATAACATCTTGCAAAAACTCGGTAAGTGAAAAATAGGTTGGATGTAACCACCATTAAACATCACGTTTCATACAATTTAGGATAATCGACTTAGAAATATAATTCTTGTAGAGACATACACTTGAACTTTCACACCAGACGCATCGTAACTGAAAAAAAGTACCTCGTCAACACTCATGATTCTAAGAAAATAGGAAGAGCTTTATTTCAGAATGTCGAAATGAAGACATAATAGGTAGTCTATAAATTAGCAATGGTACAAAGACCCTGAAAGATATTTTTTGGTTAAGCAAGTGATGTCTAAAGAAATCCGTTCGTATGTTTACGTATTTATCGATAAATTTACCAGGTTGTATTCGGCGTAGCAAAATAGTCTTAGGTGCTTCATTCGGGGTCTAGTAGTTCTGTTTGGCCCCTGATGCTAGTCAAAGACCCTGAAATATAGTTGCGTCCTTAAGTGATACTTTCTATAGGTATACGACGACATGCTATATTTCTGCATGGAAATCCGTTGCATTTGCACTAAGTGGTGATCCCTTTGTAGTTGGTTGCGCGCATGTTATGAGTTTCAAATATAATATAATATAATCACCTAGTTCTATCTGGCTTAAACTGTATTATTTCGAGAATTCTTAGTACATCAATCCGGACACTTCTAATTATCATAGTGGCATCGCAAAGAAGCCTGTGGTTGGACAGTTGGATATACATTCAAATTCCAAAGCTACCGAGGAAAGGAAGGTTTGAAATCTGGAGTATGATTAGGAGGAATATTAAGGATGATAAAATTGTGGCTCATTTCCTTACATTCATTTGATACGATGCCTATAGTGTATTAAATGTTCGTCATTTTTAGATAAACCTATTTCACTTTCCTTACTCAAAGAACAACTAAATCACGCGAAATGTACAAACTTCGAATGTTGTGATTGGGCGAAATATCATAAGATGACTCGTCAGAATAACTAGAAGGTTAAAGTTTATCCTTGAATTTCAGAAACAAACCATCGAGTGTAGTTTTGGTGTTCAACGTCATGTACTACTGCGTGATCGATTAATTGAAAGGATTAATGAGCTGAATCTGGAGATAGAATTTATAGAATTGCCGAAGTATTCTCTGAAATAATATAACGAAATAGAACTAATCCCAATAGCCCTAGAACGTCAACCAGACACAATGACGAACTCAAATTCGAACTACGCAGTATGAGGTTGTATTGTATTATTATGACAGACTTAGATATCACGTAAAATATTTGACTACAGCAAGTGCATCGTTTACTCATCACGCCCACGACACGTTAGTTTTTGGTCTACAATGTGGTCAAGGTTTATATTCAATTCTGTTGAATCTTCTTGATTGTTCGGAAACCTGACTGTTACATTCTTCGTCTATCTGAAATTCGGAATTATCTGCATAGTTGGGGTTGTTCAGAGAATGATCAGAATCAGAAATGTAGTAACCTACTTCATTGATACCCACTTGATCTACATGTCTGCTGTGAACTACATAGGTTCGAAATATGGGAAATTTAAAGAATTTATTCGGACCGTCATGAGCTGTTGAATATCCTGCATCACTATATTGAAGCAATAAATTGTCGATGCATTTTCCTAGATCTTCTAGATTACTAAATTCACTGATGAGGTTGCACTAATTAAAGTTAGGAGGAATCTTCTGCTAGACTGAAAATATGGGGCTGTAGATAGGTGATGGTATCCAATATCAACAAGCCAGTTGTTACCCTTTTTCTGTGAGATGGGTTCCGTTATCCGTTACTAATACTTCGGGTATACCCCCACGACGAAATATCTTGCTTACCGCCCTGTGAGCGAAGTTCCGACTAGAACTGTTCGTTAGTATCACTTCTGGCCATTTGAGACATGAATCAATAACAACCAAAGCATGAGTTTAAAGAATGGGCCACAGTAAACCATGCGAATACGTTGCTATGATCCATAAGATGCATGCCGAGATTCCAAGTAGGTTTGTTATATGATACCTTATGTAAACAAGCAGGACAGTTTTCGGACTCATATTGGTGTCAATATCAGGCTACCAAGACGTCTGACAAGTAAGTGACTTCACTTTCTCTGCACACAGATGGGCTGAATTAATGTCGTCTAATACTGTAAATTTGGGTGCAAAGTGAGTGATTATACTACCATGAGAGCATTAAAAGACTTCAGGATGCAATGATATATCCCCTCCGATTTTATAGAACTCAAGAAACCTACGCTCATACTGAATATTCCAACCTCTTTTCACTGTACTTACGACGGTTAAAAAATATTCAGTTCCAGATTGGAAAGGAAAGGAGGCTAGGTGCCCTTTGTATGTCCTGGCAATGATAGTCTCTCAGTTCATCCAACTTAGTTTTGAAAATGTCGACAGATGGTGCTTCAACAACGTGTTGAGGTAATGAGTTCCACTCGTTGATGATTCAATGGAAAAGTTGATAGTCAGCTGACAAGTAATTTGTTCTAAGCTTGTGAAATTTTTTGGAGTGTCCTCGTAAATTCTCAATGTAGGATTATGGTCTACACCGTTATTAGTACAATTATAATAATAAACCTAATCCTAGAATTGTAGATATGTCATGGTGTGACAAAAAACCTGACATTAAATTTTACTTGGAAGTCACATCATTGTCTATTCTGACTCGTCGTACGTAACAATTGGCGATATACAGTTTGGAATTTAGGCTTAAGATAGAATAATACATTTCATTTGAGTAAAGCCTAGTTATAAGTAGTGACCACATCTGCAAGGCTGAGCCATACACGTGTATCCTCAACAAGTAACCGCCGAACCATCATTTAATCACTTCCGGACTATGACTAGCGTAAAAGAAAATCTGCATGTGGTGTATAAAGTGATCGATAGACGAACTCATCAATAATAAATTGAAACGCACAGCACAACATTAACTCTCTTTGACCATGTGCGACTGTATTCTTTATTAACCAATCACAGTTTGATGTTCGTTGTAAAACAATATTTGCTTTGTTGATTCATTTTTCCTATTCTCTGGCTACTGTTCGGTATGTTATTTGTCTCTGTTTTTCCCTGTATTAATAGACCGTACTGTTTGTTTGTACACTAACGATGTTAATTTATGTTTTAGAAACAGATAAAGTTTATCGAGCCAAATTGCTTACTTGTTCTGACTTTGGCTAAACAAAGACTCTGTATTCGACTGTCTAGAGATTAGCTTAGAGTTGAATCTGTAGGAAATCGCTTCCCACATGTGGTTTGTGCGACTACTAAGATCACAAAATATTACTACTGACAGCTTTATTCAATATTATATTCTTCGTACAACATAGAATTCTCAGCAAACGACTCATAACAAGTTTCGTACTTCTTAGTTGATCCTGACAATAAATACCGAATGTTAGCCAGTTATAAGTTAGCATTTCAGTAATCCACTTCTGAATAATTTATACTCTTTTCAGTTTCAGTTTGGAGAGGACAGGAGGCTTTGTAGCGAAAAATAAATCCCCAAAATAAATAGCTCTGTAAGTTTTCGACATTGGATGCTGACCATATGTTTTAGTGGACTCATCTAGCTGAAGGCGCTCGGTCAGGCATCTGCACCAGATCACGTGTGGTAACGCCGTGCTCAACATCAACCGCAATCGCTAGCCAGATTAGATCAGAGAATTCCGATATATTGGTCATCGCCAAATATACTCTTCCAATCTCCTCGACTCTGTCTTTTGATTTCTCTGGGCGGGAA